AAAAGCGCTGCCAGGCAGATATATATCCCCCCAACGAAGTGCAGTCAAAGAGGTCCCGACGAAGAAGGTTATCCCACAGTGGTTGTGCCGCGCCATAAAAATGAAATTACGGTGGAACGCCGCGTTGTTCTTTCACAGTTCTCGGTCCTAAATCATAAAATTCACCGGTACTACCCCTCTTAACTATGTGTATATAGTTTTGGCTTCGGGTACAGGATGGAACATACCTGAAAAGGCATACGGTTTTATTTCCTCGCCTACTCCGAGCAGAATATTCCTATACTTCGCAAGAACATTACAGTTACAGTTTACGAGACAACTATTTTTGTTTGGAAACTTGTAAATTCATTTCCTGACAACTGTTAAAAATGATATGCTGCAGAATATTTCGAATGACAACGAAGATAATAAAAATTACTAGGTGTTGTTTTTTTTTTCTTTCAAATTTAATAAACTTTGACATCTAGTGTAATAATAATTTCACTTATTACAGTCTACGTACTAGTTAAATATTCTAGCTGAATATATTGACATTTGTGCTTATTGTTAAATTATATTCTAGACTGACACTGTATCGAAGTAAAAACTCTTGAGATAAAGTTTTAACATGGAATAAAATTTTGTACAGTATCGGAAAACAACATTACTTATGGGTGCCCCTGATACATTGTGTTTGCCAGAATCAAACAAATTCACGAAATTTTAAAATCCTTGGTTTATGATAATTCAATAATTTTTTTCATCGGATAAACATACAATAGTGTAACCTAAAGTTAACATAAATCCTGAAGATTATGAAACCAAAGTGAATTTAGATTCCTAATTCTCATTGAAGAAAATTAAAATCCTTGAAATCATGATTAAATGTTTAATTTCTTCGAATGTCTAAATTAATTACTTGATGAAATTCCTTTCTAAATAAATGCTTCCAGTATTCTTGAAATCATTGAATGCTCGAATTATAGAAATTATTCAACGTATGAATCTTTAAGATCATTTCACCCAATTTTTCAAAATTATCGAGCACCTATCGAAATGAAAAGTAAAATTTCCAACAATCTCAAATTATATTATTCAGCTTTAAGCTTGTTTCTTCTAATTTTTCAAAATTAGCTCCTATCACTGAAAATTTCCAATATCCTTGAAATCATTGAATGCACAGATTTGTGAAGGATTATATCCCACGTCACGAATTGTTAAGATTTCTCCTAACTATCGATGAAACCTTGGTCGAAACTTGTAAATTCCTGACAACTGTTAAAAATGACATACTACAAAATATTTCGAATGACAACGAAGATAATTGTACAAAAATTACTAGGCATTGTTTTTTTTTTTTCTTTCAAATTCAATAAAGCAAAATTCCCAATATTCTTCAAATTTAATAAAGCAAAATTCCCAATATTCTTAAAATCACCGAATGTCCAAAAACCACGATGACTACCGAATATCTAAATATCATTTCTCCCAGTTTCTCGAAATATTCTGAGACCATTTCATTCCCTGGACGAGTATACTCTCAAAGTCACGGAACGCTCGAATCATCGTCAATGTCGTCGAACACCAAAGTACTACTACTATATTTCTCGAAATTGTCAATTTATCAAAGTTCCCCGCATCGTTGTCGAACGGTCCCTAAATCTCGGATGGAACAAAGAATGGAGGGTGGGAGAAACGGAGGAGACGAACGTTCAAGCGACCAAATGCTAGACAAAATCCCCTGGATCCCTCGAGAAGGTCAAAGCTTTCCTTCTACCCCTTTCTCTCTCTCTTTCTCTTTTTCCTCGTCACTGGTAGAAATTCGCGCGTCTCCCTTGGCCTGGCCTGGCCTGGTGGTGGAATCGCGACAGGCTGGATCGGATTCCAGGACGGTTTCACGGGGGTGAGAGGCGAAAAAGCACTTGGACGACTGCGTGCGAGGGACAGGTGTCCGGCGAGGGTGCGTTCACGGTCTAACGATCGGCAACCAGACGCCTTTTAACGCTCCCTCCCGGTGCAACCCGTGGTGCGTGTACGTGTGTATGTGTGTGAGCGCAGCCTTTTTTCGAACTAGACGGAGAAATACCTTCGATTTTTAGGCGGAACACGCACCACACACACAAACACATACACTTGCACGAACCGACAGTTCGGATATGGACGTGCACGCTGGCCGTGTATACAGGGTGAGGCGCGCAAAGCGCAACGATTGAATATTCTGCGAATATTTATAACTCGCTGGAAAGCGAGTACGAAAGTAAAGTTAAGTTTTGAGGGATACGGGGATTAAGCTTCGTTTCTGAGGATAGTTTGTATCTTTGATTAAGAAAACAATGTCATTGAAGAACGACAGCAGTGGAAGTTAAGCTCTACTTTAATTAGGTATATTCCAGATTTTTATATTGTAGGAAGAGATTTTTGTTTACATTATTATTATTATATTATGATTATATTGTTATTATTATTATATTATTATTATATTATTATTATATTATGATTATATTATTATTATTATATTATGATTATATTATTATTATTATATTATGATTATATTGTTATTATTTATGTGAAGATATAAAGAATATATATTTATTATTTATATAAAGATTTTCGTTGATGCTTGGAATGTTTGAGATTTTTGTTTACATTATTATTATTATATTATGATTATATTATTATTATTATATTATGATTATATTATTATATTATTATATTATTATATTATGATTATATTATTATTATTATATTATTATTATATTGTCATTATTTATGTGAAGATATAAAGAATATATATTTATTATTTATATAAAGATTTTCGTTGATGCTTGGAATGTTTGCGTTGCAACGTTTCCGTGTTAGAATCTATCATTTATCTGAAGATACAAAGACAATATACATTTATTATTTGTAAGAAGATTTTTCGTTAATACTTCTGTTTTATGAAACACGTCTGTATTTGCAACATTTTTGTGTTAGAATCTATTATTCATATGAAGATACAATATGAAGATCTATTGGATACAAATATTAGATTATACTATATTTATACTATTATTTATATGAAAATACTAGATATACTATACACTACTATACAATATATACTATATACTGCAAATACCAGATATACTATATTTATACTATTATTTATATGAAGATTTTTGTTAATACTTTTGTTTTATAGAATGCCTGTATTGCAATACCTTTATGTTAAAATATTTCTACACTACATTGCGATAATTCGAAACGGTAGTATTATTAATTCCAAATTACAATATTTCTACACCATTTTAAACTCCACGATGTATCTACGATATTTTCACGTATATATGTACACACATCGATAGAATTCAGGAAATTTTGAAGAATATCTCTCGTTTCAAGAACAAATTGCTGCAGCTGCCAGTAAGGATGAATTTTGGTTAATTTAAAAGGAAGCTCATCAGCTCGTTATCGACTCGCCGAGAGATATCTAATGGTTGCATCTTCGCGCGACTCACCCTGTATATTCGCACGTGTATGGGTGTGGCGCGCGGCTACGTGTGCGTGTGTGCACGCAGGCTCACACGTGTCCACGCTAAATCTAGCGTGGAAAGGACCGAAAACGAGCGTTCGAGAAATTTTTTTTCCAAAGGGAGGCTGGAATCGCGTTCGTTTAAGGCAGTATACATCGTTTTTACGGTCTTTTCGCGCCCTTACGACTTTGCCTTGGCTTCCGATTTATAAAACCGAGTCTCCCTCAACGCGCATTAACGTTCGTTGGTCAGTTTCTAGAAATACAAGTAACGTTCATAGAAAGAAATGGTAATTGACGGGATTAAAATATTTTTGAAAGCCGGTGGAATCAGTGGAGAGTTTGCATCTTGGCATCAACGAGCTTTCCTCGTGTGTTCCTCCTCTTTGTAAACGAGGGTCAACAAAAGTTAATCGATAATTAGTTAATATTATAAATGATATATTATTTATAATAAATTTTTAGCATTTATTTATAATAAATTTATTATATTTGTAATAAATTTTTAGAATTTATTTATAATAAATTTATTTAAATTAAATTTATAATAAATTTATTAAAATTAAATTTATTATATTTATAATAAATTTACTTAAATTAAATTTATTATAAATTTATAATAAATTTATTAAAATTAAATTTATTATATTTATAATAAATTTATTTAAATTAAATTTATTGTATTTATAATAAATTTATTTGAATTAAACTTATTATACTTATAATAAATATAATAAATTTTAGATTTAGGATTATTCGTTGAGTCAGGCAACAAATCTTCATCATTAATTAATTAAAATTGAAATTAAAATATTTTAGACAGCCCCTGAGACCGACTGAGAATTCATTCGCGTTAGATTGAAACGAATTTGAATTTCAGGCAGGGCATTAAAGTCGAATTAGGATCGATGGATTGCTAGAATTGAATGGAATACTCACGGTTTGACGAATCACGGTCCAACGGGAGTGGGGTTGTCGGATTTTTGGGGCAATGGCAATTGCATGCAGGATTTTTGGAATTCTCAAGGACGATGGAAAACCTAGGGACCGTTGGTCTCGAATTAGTCACTACCGGTGAAAGTAATTTCATTCATAGAAATAATTAATTCTCTACACCTTTAGAGATATTTAAAGTAAGATCTTGATGTTTTTGACGTCTCGAACACTCGCAAGTTAATTTAACCCCTTGCGCTGGAATGACGTGCCACGCACGTCGACAACTTTTTGCCCCCAAAATTGCAAGTATTTTCTCAAGTATAAGAAGTATAGTTCAAAGAAGTATATTTCAAGTATAACCCAAGTATAATAAGCAAAACAAATAATAAATTTACCTCTCAATAATTTCTCTCTAAAAGAAAGCGACGAATTATTATATACGGGTGTGGTCACTCGTTACGGTCCGCAGTCAGTTGCCAGCGCAAGTGGTTAAAAGCGAGGGGGTGGAAAAAGAAAAACCCGCCGCAAAGTGAGATTAGACGTTTTGCAAAATTAGCAGAAATTAGAGACTTACCCGATCACGTGTGGCACGTCGATGGAGTGGGAAGAGGCCCGTTTACGATCACCAGCCATATCGGCGAGCCTAGCAAAATCTGTATCCTGATCAGCCAGCCGGGCGCTCTTACGTGACTCGAGCAACCTGACCTCGTCTATACGTTTGGTCAGCCTCATCGTCTGCAACAGGATCGATGTATCCTCCATAAGATGGAATGTCATACCCAAAATTTACACGCGTTATCAGGTTACTTTTCTGACATCTCGTGAAACGTAAAACACGCGGATAGGGTTTGATAGGGATTTCAAGCGCTAACGCTTTCAACGATTTCCATGGATTCGTTAGATATTCAATGTTACATCGTAAAATAATATTCTTACGGTCATGGAATATCATGTGTTATATTATTAATATAAAAATTCTAGTCGCGCCGTGACATTGTCGTAGTTTACAACGATACACTCGTGCATCGATGCGTTAATCGGCTCTCTCTCTCGATATAAACAATGATTAAAGAGAAATATGGATACTAATTTTAAGACGTAATCTTAAAAGTATCGTAAATAAAAAAAACCGAAGAAAGAATTGAAGAGACCGGGCGGCAAAAATTTTCGAAAACTTACCGATCTCGTTACGTATATACAGATCGGAGAAGTAACAAATCGAAGCAAGTTATGCAAACGACGTAACCCGTATATTGCCTTTCTAATCGCGGTAAAACAAATGGTGGCCGGATATCATTTGAATAATTGCCAGGCTCGCGATTTCCATTCGAATTAAAAATTCAGGCGCGTAGCCCAGGCGATAAATGAGAGAAAACGGCGTTATTGCAAATGGCATATTAGGCCGTCTATTAAGTGAAAAGCCGAGACGATGAGAAATGATCTGGCTGAGGCGTGATTCACTACGGGGGAACGTGGCGTACAATTACAGTTCGCCAAGTCATTCGAATCAAGCGATTCGTGAATCTTTCTTCTTTTTTAATTTAAACGTGAAGAAATTTCTAAAATTCAACACTCGCCATTTTCGAAGACACGGGAATATTAAAAGCTCGCTGTTCAAGAAAATTCAAGAAATATCGAAACTCGCTATAAAATTGTAAACACGCTTGTAAAATTCAAGAAATATTAAAACTCACTATTCAAGAAAATTCAAGAAACATTAAAACTCGCTATAAAATTATAGTCTAGCTTGTAAAATTCAAGAAATATTAAAACTCACTGTTCAAGAAAATTCAAGAACTATTAAAACTCACTATAAAATTATAATTTAGCTTGTAAAATTCAAGAAATATTAAAACTCACTATAAAATTGTAAACACGCTTGTAAAATTCAAGAAATATTAAAACTCACTGTTCAAGAAAATTCAAGAAACATTAAAACTCGCTATAAAATTATAATCTAGCTTGTAAAATTCAAGAAATATTAAAACTCACTGTTCAAGAAAATTCAAGAAATATTAAAACTCATTATAAAATTGTAAACTCGCTTGTAACATTCAAGAAATATTAAAACTCACTATTCAAGAAAATTCAAGAAATATTAAAACTCACTATAAAATTATAATTTAGCTTGTAAAATTCAAGAAATATTAAAACTCACTACAAAATTGTAAACTCGCTTGTAAAATTCAAGAAATATTAAAACTCACTGTTTCAAGAAAATTAACTTGGCAAACGTAACTTCGTTATATTTCGTTTGTCCGTGCAATTTTATATTATTATGAACATAATTTAAAACAAAAAAAGATTATTTGTAATTCTATCACTGATAATGAATGTAATATTAATGATGAGTGCCCCACTTATTATTTACTCATTTTTACTAATGATTTTCTGATCTAGGTACGTTTTCAGATTAAATTAGAATATCCCACACGTTTCCTTCGCACGTCTCTCAAATTTCTACGATCATAAATTCCCTACATTAAAATTTATTCAAAAAAGAATTCGCAGTCAAGTCGAGTAACGTGTCATTTTGAGAAAAAATTCAAGATAGAATTCATGGGAATTAATCGCCATTCGACGTTTGATGGCTAACTGGAGCGTAGAAACCGAGCGGATTCTAATCGACACGTTAAACGCTTGGCAGAGCTAATTAATTACTATTAAACGTGATATTAGTACGCAAACGGATGCGTGGACACACGAGTTACCCTGCTCACAGGCCGGTGAACGAGATCGTTGGAGTGATCAGCGCCTTTTTCCTCGAGGAGGAAACGTATCGGTTGGAAAATACCGGTACTGTTAGATACGCGATGGATACTCGTTTAACGAGCCCACTCCGCCCCCTTTCCATTCGCTTTGGAATGTTTTCCGTTTCCTCGCCAAATGGAAATCCTAAGGCGAGGAAATTTCCCTGAATGCACTCTCGTGGATGATATTAACGATATTAATGGATTCATAAGTTGCAAAAGTTCCTCCTAGGGAATAGTTCACAACATGTTTAGAAATTTATAAATTAAATAAGTTGAAAAACAATAATTTAACAAGTGGATGATATTAACAATATTGTTGGATTCATAAGTAGCAAAAGTTTCTCCTAAAAAATAATTCGTAACATATTTAGAAATTTATAAATTAAATAAGTTGAAAAACAATAATTTAACAAATGAATGATATTAACGATATTAATGGATTCATAAGTAGCAAAAGTTTCTCCTAGGGAATAGTTCGTAACATAGTTAAAAATTTATAAATTAAATAAGTTGAAAAACAATAATTTAACAAGTGGATGATATTAACAATATTGTTGGATTCATAAGTTGCAAAAGTTTTTCTTAGGGAATAGTTCACAAAATATTTAGAAATTTAGAAATTAAATAAGTTGAAAAACAATAATTTAAATGAATGATATTAACGATATTAATGGATTCATAAGTTGCAAAAGTTCGTCCTAGGGAATAGTTCACAACATGTTTAGAAATTTATAAATAAGTTAAATTAAATAAGTTAAGAAACAATAATTTAACAAATGAATGATATTAACGATATCAATGGATTCATAAGTAGCAAAAGTTTCTCCTAAAAAATAGTTCGTAACATATTTAGAAATTAAATAAGTTGAAAAACAATAATTTAACAAATGAATGATATTAACGATATTAATGGATTCATAAGTAGCAAAAGTTTCTCCTAGGGAATAGTTCGTAACATATTTAAAAATTTATAAATTAAATAAGTTGAAAAACAATAATTTAACAAGTGGACGATATTGATGGATTCATAAGTTGCAAAATTTTCTCCTAAAGAATAGTTCGTAACATATTTAAAAATTTAAAAATTAAACAAGTTGAAAAATAATTTAACAATGGATTCATAAGTTGCAAAAGTTTCTCGTAGGGAATAGTTGGTAACATATTTAAAAATTTATAAATTAAACAAGTTGAAAAATAATTTAACAATGGATTCATAGGTTACAAAAGTTTCTCGTACAACACATTCCGAAGTTTATAAATTAAACAGGCTGAAAAACGATGAAAAATTGTCACAACTTCCTAAAAGGAAAAAAATCATGTAACAATCCAACTTTGGTCTCGTTCTACAGCGTAAATCCTCTACTTTCACAATTCTCTGTTCGTTTCTACATCGCGCAGCTGGCGGGAAAGTGAGGATACTTTTATTTTTTTTTGGAAACTCTGAAAGCATCGAGTGAAACTTTTTTCATTGCTAGACCCGTGTCACGGTCTTGAAGATTGAAATTTTCTCTTTGCAACGAGCCCTTGAAACTCGCTGTACAATTCTCTTTCTTTCTTCCTTTCAACCATTTTATCGAATTTTAAACGTATCACAATTAGACAAGATGCTAGGATTGCTTCGACTTTTCGATCCTAACATTCAAAGTTTAATGAAATTACGGAAAGGGAGAAGAATCGTACAAGTTTTAGGGGATCTAAAGAAGAGATTTTAATCGTGGTGATCTAGCCACGAAAAGAGATTTTCAATATTTCTAGAGACGTTTGAATTCTTCGTCCAACTGTTCAAGGCTAAACAGAACGAACTTCGAACGAATGATCATGCAAAAAGTATTGAAAGACTGTAGCAAAAACAAGAAAACGCAAGACTTCGGTCCTCAAAAGATTGATGGTGGACTCTAGTCACGGAAAAACATCTTTCAAGATGCAACAGAATTTTTTTGCCGGTTGAAACGAGACCAATAAATAAGTAATATAATTTTTTCCTTTCTTTTTTCCCCCAAATTGTAACAGTGAGTCGTGTAAGATATCGGCAAATTTTCATCCTTTCGCAATCAGGGTAATCAAAATCGTTACGTGCGTTTGAAATTCAAAAGGAGCAGATCGTCGCCGTGTCGATCGGTAGCGAGACGATCCTGGTGTATCCGCGCGTTCCGCGGAATTATGAGCGCGTGTACAGTTCCACGTACGAGCGGATAAATTCGAGATACATGAATTGGTTGGCGAACGCTTTTTCCGCGGCGTATGCACTTGTGCGAGTCGCCGGGGCCCCAGAGGCACGATAATGCGAATATAATGACGACGTTGCCACGGGTAAACAGTCCGCTGGCTCGGTTCCGATCGTTTTCCATCGTGCGCTCCGCTCTCGCGTATACGCGCGCCGAGTTCAACGTTTCCGGATGCGCGGAGGCCCTCCTTTCTTTCATTCTTTCTTTCTTTTGCGCGACAGATGGAGCCAGGCCATTTTGCCGCCGCTCCGATTTTTTTAATAATCATTTGATAACAATAATATATATATATAAATAATTTAATAATATATATATATATATAAATGAATAATTTAGTAAATATGTAATGTCTTTTTTCCTCCGATTTTTTTTCTTTAATTTTCTTTCTATCACTATTATTATCATTATAATAATAATAATAATAATAATTATTATTATTATTATTATTGTGTAGCAACTGTAGCAGGGTTGGGCCACTCGACGATTAGCCAAGCCATTTTCCCGCCGCGTTGGTACTCTAATTTTTTAATAATTTAATAATAATAATATATATAAACAATATAAATAATATATATAAACAATTTAATAAATATATATATAAATAATTTAATAATAATGATATATATATATATAAAATATCTTCTTCTCTCCGATTTTTTTTCTATCACTATTATTATTATTATTGTGTAGCAACTTTAGTAAGCCATTCAACGATTAGCCAAGCCATTTTCCCGCTGCGCTGGTACTCTGATTTTTT